AAAAAATGAATGCACATAATTACTTATAGAATAAACTTTTACTTTAAGCAGTTTATTCCCTATGCAGAGATACCCTCACGTTGTTTACATAATTAAAATAATGTTATAAAAATATGTACTTACTTTGCGGCGATCTTAAGTTATTTAAAAAAAATGTTTGCTTCTCAGAGCTTATTTGAAAAATAACAAAAAACAAATGAACACTGATAATAATTTATTATCGATAAAAGATAATGGGTTTCTGACAAGTTGCACTAGCCGTCAAAACCCTAAAAACGACAATTCATAAACGTTATAAACGATTTGTACCACTATTTAAAAAAAATAATCTAAATGATCAAAATAACCCCACGTAATCAATGTAACCTCATATTATGGCAGCTTAAATACAATAAATAAAATCATACTAAATATGCATTTAAGCTCAATATATGCAAAATAAAAATACTACCATTTTCGTAACAATAATATAAATCGCGAACATTACCCGCTTAAACTCTATTTGGCGTAGCAAAAAAAAACATGCTGTTGTATACAAATCCTAGGCCTGCACTGCTTATCATCGTATAATATTTTAATATAACATTATAACTCTAGTAAAATTTAAAGATATGAATAAAAGTACGAAATTGATATATTTACTTACATTCTTTCATACTCAACATTATCTAAAAATGACAAATGACCGGCTAAAGGCCATTTTTTTTTGGACAATATGGCCGGAGATCCAGTACCAAGTTTTTTTTTGTGCCCCATGTAGGTATCACGTATATTCCGCCATCGATATTTACAATCTTCGGCTATAATACGAATTAAAATGTTTATTCACTGAATATATTCTAAGATTTAACTATTAGAATGCAACGTTTGAACGTTCTGAAAAATTTTAATCTATATATACTTATATGATTTTCCAACTACAGCCAAAATATTGTTCCAACATTTACTTAACCCGTCGTTGGTTGCGTCTTTTTTTTGTACTACTTTGGTCGCGTGGTGAGAGATTCTCTCACTATCTTCAATAAGTCTTATAATATGTAATAAACTACCAAAACACATTTATTATATAAATGAGCACTTTAAACTATATATATTTCAGTATTTATGTATATTTCCTTTTTACAAAATACATTACATATTACAATTTGAATAATCGAGCATTAACATATTGTTATTACTAAAAAAAAATAATAATAATTAAATGTTTTATTCTTGAATTTGCGTATTACAGATACAGGAATCGCATATGGTTGTAGTATGTTTTTTGCAAATTGGATTTGAACATGTTGCACAAATTACCTATATAAATAATAGTTTATATAATTATAAATATAAAATATTTTAATCATTAAAATATAAATTTACTATTACCACTGTATATTGATTTTCCTTTTTTGGACAATAAGAACATTTTGCTTTTCCATTTGTACTAGTTCCAGTTTCTGGGCTTGAAATGACTCCACTAAATCGTGTAATTTGTTGTCTTAGAGGAATAGATAATGTTGGAATACTTTGTCGTCGAATCATATGAGTTTTGCATAGGTCTTTCCCTAATTGCTTTAAAAATTTGCGTCGTGGAATAACAATATCAGTGTTTGATTTGTAAATAATTTGACTGTTTATTCCAGCAATGTTGAGTAAAGAAAAAAATACTGTCAGAGGCCATCTGTGGCTGTTTCTTGAAACTGAGTATTCACCTTTCAGTTCATCCACAACGTCTACACCTCCTTTTGACATATTATAAAATGAAATGACTTCTGGTAATTTTTTATCTCCCGAGTTTGGATCAATGTCACCTTGTGTATGCATTGTTGATAGCATCATAACATTTTTTCCCTTTTTCGGAACATATGACAATAAAAGACAATTATTATCTCCAAATCCAAATTTTGTACTACATATTTGTCGATTTATTGTGTCTAAAAAACATGTTGGTATCTCCCGTTTATTTTTTTTTCAGTGTACCTACCATAGTAGTTTTATAGTCTTTTAGAAGCTTAACTGCTAAAGGGACTGAAGTGAACCAATTATCAATAGTAATATTACGCCCTGTTTTAGCAATTGGTTTTATCATACGTTTGACAACACTAGCTCCACTATTGTTCTGTAAAAACGATCCAATCGGTTGTTTGCCTGCGTAAATTTCCATATTTACTGTATAAAATACACGTGAATCTACCAAAGCAAAAATCTTTATACCATATTTATTAGGTTTGTTGGCTATGTACTGACGAAATTTACATCGTCCCCGGAAGCCTTCTAACATTTTGTCAATTGTACAATATTCTCCTGGTGTATAAAATGATATGCAACGATTTACGAATTCATCAAAAACCGTTCTAATTGGTGCTAAATTGTCAATTTTTTTTCGTTCATTTCTAGTGTGTATGTTATCAAATCGTAAAGCGCGAAGTAAAAGGTAAAAACGTCTTTCAGACATTACAGCACGAAAAATGTCGGGAGAGAATCCATCGTTTGCCCACAAGTCGGAAAGATTTATGTGATTATTTCTTAACATACCAGCAATATATAAGAGACCGATAAGTGCTCGAATTTCATCTACGTCAGTATCTAAAACATCTTTGTCCCTTTGATAATTATCACGAATTTTTGATAAATATATATTAGTACAAGTAGTAATTTCTTGTAAACAATCGTTGGGAAAAAAAAGTTCCCAAGAGTGAATTATAGTTTTAGCATTTTTTGCTGCCGATTTTACACTAGGAAGGTGTGTTACAATATTTCTTTGTGGAGTTCTAACATTACGAGGAGGAGGGTCAGTATACCACTTGATAATATTATCTTTACCTTTATTATATCCACGAAAATCATTTCTAATAGAATCGTCAGGACAAGACATTTCGGAATCATTTACATTTTCAACAGATTCATCACTACTTTCTGGAATATCTAATACTTCTCCATCACTCTCATCTTCATCGGGGTCAAAATCATCTAACATAACATCGTCAGCTTTCTCAAGCCAAGCATATATGTTATTATCCATAGTAAAATAATACACAGAAAAAACGTACTTGTTTGGTCGCGTATAGAGAATTTCTCTCACCGTGTGTATACGATTCACGTTAAACGGGTACTGACAATATAAAATCAATTACAAAGTCGTTTAATACCCATTTATTTTTAGATTATCTGTATCTGATAAGGTATAGCACAACTAATAGGCAATAAACCGATATAACAGACAGTGGTGACCGAAATAATATCGTAATGAGAGAATCTCTCACCACGCGACCAACGACGGGTTAAATAACCATAGTCTTTGTGTTTTTCGAGAAAACTGTCATAAATAGCGCGTTCTTTCTCTACTTCAACAACTAAAATTTCGTCCTCGTTGGGCAAAAATTTTGACATTATACTTTTTGACATAATTATTTTATATTGCGTTAAATAACTAATACACATGTTCCACAAAGATGCGTATCGTGGAATGTATGCGAGCACTATGATAGTGCCAAAACAGAACAAACGCGGAAGAAAGACACGTCAAAATCCTAAAATTGAAAACATTAAAACCAATGCATTGAAGCCATTATATAACAGGAAACTTGTTATAAAGAATTCAAAATTTAAAGATTTACTTCATTTAAAGCAATTTTTAATGAAAGCAAAATCACACAAATTTTACGAAAATTTGAAGACAGAAGAAGTAGATATTGAAGACAGTGAAAACGAGTACATCGACAATATTCCTTTGAATGAAGTTGAAATTAAAAATGGTATTTTTAATTATACGATATTAAATTTAAAATTAAGTTATATTATTTCAAAAAATAGGAAACTAAGTGGCTAGTCAGTACTGAAAATATATTGAGTTATTTTTATGATGACACAACGTAATATATAAATAAATATATAAATAGTCATATTCATGTAGAGTATAGACTTGAATATGGATAATAAATAAAACAAATGCTTATCTAACATGCAGACGTATTTTCCACAATTTACCCGAAACTGCCAATTACTGATTAGTATTAATATATATGAATCGCGACTGTGTATCCACATTCTGTCAGTGTCCAGTGACACAGTGTTATACTGTTATTATTGCAATATAGTAGTCTCAACTCTCAAGCAGAAACTTGGATTCATTTTAATATTTATTATTTTATTTACCTATTACGTTATTTATTTAACACATCCATTAAATTTAATTTAAATTGCATTCTATTGAAAGATGAATCCACTGTGTCCCAGCTGTGGAAAAAATCGTGATTTTATGAAAAATACTTACTGGATTTGACTCAAGGAATCTTGTAAAAAAAAATTAAGTCTGTTAATAGAACTGTTTCAAGTTATATTTCAAACTTTTTTAAACCTACAGAACGTGATGGAAAATTTCCAAAATTTGAAAAATCAGGTACGTAACTTTGTGATACCAATTATATTTAATCTGTTAAAAATATTTTCATTTTTAAACTGCAGTTATTGTTTGTTATTTAAATTAATTATTTATAAAAATCCTATTCAAAATTAATTTATTGGTATTTGCTAATATTTAGACATATACCTGGTACATCATAATCATATGAATAGTTGCATTTATTATTAACATTCTTTTTTTTTTTTTTAACTAGTTAAGTTAAAAGTTATCAAAAAAAGTAACTTTTAACTTTTTAACTAGTTACTGCTCATCTTGGGTCAAATGCAATGTTTGATAGAAACTTCAAATTAAAAATAAATAAATTATAAATAGCTAACTAAATCTAGTAATCCATTTGAAACTGGAAACATGTAATTTTCCAGTATTAAAATATTATAATATGTAGTAATATGTAGTAACACGCGAAATGTTTTTTATTACTTTCGATTAATCTTACGTGAGCCATATTGTCGTGGCACGATCGTATAACATTCGTTTCCATAGATTCCGGAACGTAGAACTTAACATGTTTATTTTCTTTCCAATAAACAAGACCATTATGTAGTTCGTAAAACTTATCGTCACCGGTCTGTAATTTATCTCTAATTTTAATAATATTATCATCGGTATTTTGTCTCATTGCAAGAACCTGCTCAAACGTATTTGGTTCTAAAATCAGGATAGCGTAACATCGACTGAACGCGTCAACATGTTGCATGTTTTTATTAGATCGATGGAAAATTTCGAAGTCGTAGTTTTGTAAGAATAATGTCATCCCAGTATCGATGATTTTGTTTATTCATAATGCCATTGTTTGTAAATTTTAATTCATCACTCCAAAGAATATGATTGACTATTAAAGGATCATCAAAAAATTTAACATTGAACCAAGCTATAAACTCTAACCTACGAATTGAATCTCCTGCGCGCAAATGTTGGACGAAATTGATTTTATATGGGTGCATTTTGTGTTTTTTTAGAATTTTTTGAACATAAACATATGAAACGCCAATTTCGCGAGCAACATGCTTAATTGACGAACGTGGATTAGCTCTTATGTATGCTAGTACCTGTAACTCTGTATCGTCATCAAACATATCTGCTCTGTGTCTTTATTGGTTGATTTGTCTGCCAGGAAATCTTCCATTCTGACTTAACCCTTTAAGAAGACGTGAAACGTAATTTTAAAATGGATGGTATCTTTCTGGGTATCATTCGGCATACGTTATAGCAGCTAGGCGTACATTACATTGACATTCGCCATAAATTAAAACCAACTCAACTTTTTCAGCGTTATTCATATTTAAAACAATTATAATTTATAGGAGTACTTAATAACAAAACATACGTACACGGATAACGTACAGACTATGGTACGGGTATAGATCTAGTCGAATAATAAAAGTGAAATAATATTTTTCATCAAACTAAATATCTTAATAATATAACATTATCTGATTATCTTATTGTTATTAAAGCTATTGTAAAATAAAATAAAATTCCACTATAAAAAAAGTTAAAATTGTAATCGCATTACGTTAGTTTCCTAAACAAAAACTATCCCATACTCGAGATATTCATTCTAGTGACCTACAGTATTATTAAATTATTATTTTTAAACGGTTCAAGTAAATTAAACATTTATTTGGCACATATTTTATTATAAATGTGTGGTTATAAATGAAAATTTCATTAAACACGATTTATGCATAAATTCAAATTTTGACTTATTCTAACTTGGTCAATTTTGTAAATATAAAAAAACTTTTTATACAAAAAACGTTTAGAAAAAAAATAATCTATCCGAATATTTAAAAAAAAAGTAGTTTCCATAAAAAAAATTTAAATTGTGTTGCGTATGCGCACACCATAAGTGTTGAAAATTTTAAAATCATAAATAAATGTGTATTTAAGTACCCCCTAAGCACTCTAAAATATTCGATTCAATACAAGGTCATTTACCTGAGATATTTAGTGTTACCTTAAACCGTGATCACACTATATTTATTTTAATTATTTTGTGAACGATACATTTTATATGTAATATACATTTTTCAAGAAAAATAGATCCTCTAAAATTGTTATAGCGGACTATGAATTATCAACTATCGGAGGTATGATATTATATTAATATCATGTCCTTTTACAAATTACAATGAAAATGATAATTTAAAACAAAAAACAAAATTTTATAAATTACAAAGAAAACCGCTTATAATTACACCAGAAGGTGAAACAACGATAATGAACGATTACATTAAAGAAAAAACAAAAAAATTCATTATATAATGTATTTAAAAATCAACCTGAACGGCTTGATGTGATTTTAAAGGAACTTGAAAATTCTATGAGAAATGATTTAGTATCTAACTTAACCAGTGATTTTTTAAAAAAATGTTTTGATTATAATACTCTATGGAATGGTAGTACAGATAAACGTATATTATTGAGACTAGGTATTAATTGTATTACGTTAAATTTAACTGCTTATGATGAATATAATAATAAAATATTTTATTTAAAATTAATAGATTGTAATAACAATAATTTAATATTTGTATATAAATTAGGATATATTAAGAAAAATAGAAGGTTATTAATGCTGCTTGAAACTCATAATTTAATTTGTAGTAATAATCATTGTTTGGGAAGCCGGCTATTTGCTAGCATTTGGCCGGGCAACCACTTTAAAATATGTGATGTTTACAATTTGAATTGGATAGGTGACCGAACATAAATATACACAACACGTTTATATAATAAAATATATATTTTTAGACACGACTAGTGTGCGTACGTCGGCCGGTGAAGACGTCTCTTCCCGAACGCGACTCGTAACAATAATAATAATAATAAGAATAATAATAATTAATCTGAATAATGTTACATACCGGACGGCACATACGTCGCGGCGGGGCAGGGTATCGGCTACGACGGAGACTGTTAAGGGGCTGTCACACGAGGCGACTACTCGCTACGACTACGTACCAGCGAGTAAAGTCGCTCCATCTGACAACGTATTCGCAGCGAATTATTCAAGTCGTAGCTATGAAAAGTCGCGGTGAATGGAAAAGAACATGTTCAATTCTACTTGCTAGGAACGCGCGACTATGCTGGTTACGTGACCCACTCGCAACTAAAAATCGCAGAGTCGCCCCGTATGACATCGACACTCGCTGGTCGCTACTAGCTATTTTATCAATATTAATGTTACTATCAATTCTTCTATCTATTGTTATTATATTAATATTATTATATTTCAATACATTACATGAGTTAACTTATTTAATATAATAATATATTATATTTGTCAATTTTTCGTCGACTTATTTTCATTTATTTTCATATTATGAATAACAAGCAAGAACCGGCCTTAAAATGGTCATCTGATGATATTATAGTCCGGCTCACGAAAAGTGAACGTTGATATCAGCGATCCCCGTGGCCGTTTTCAACAAGTGATTATTAAACCCGTTTGCCGCGTTTTTTTAAATTATTCATACCACTATACAACATATACATTACAATAATATTAAACACATTTATGGATGTTACAATTAGGAAAAGATGCATAATCTATTTTAAATATCGATATTAAACATTTAATTTCCAAAAAGAATCACAATTTAATCATACAAAAAATTTTTAAGAAACACAAATATAAAATAATTTAAATTAAAGTAGGTATATACATATTACACAAATAAATTATATGTCGTCTTCTTCATCGTCGTCATCACTACTGCTGTCACCTGGTCGTATTGTGAGAATAATAGGCTCTAAAATTACTTCTCTATGTTTTTCCTTTTGATAATCTTCGTCCTGTATTCTTTCAGCATGACGAACGCAATTTACCCAATTTTCTTTTTTCACCGAATCTATTGCTTCGTGCATTAATTTTTCAACATCAGCCATCTTAAATGTTGTATTTTTAGATGCAACTTGTCCCTTAACTTGTGCCCATATCATTTCGATTGGATTGTACTGACAATGATAAGGTGGTAACCGTACAACTTCATGTCCCATTTTAAGGGCCAATTCATCCAGCTCGTATTTTTTTTCGGTTGGTATTAAGACTTTAACTCTTTCACGAAGTTCAGCAACTGTTTCAAGTAGAGAAAAATCAATATTTTTTTTGTTTAACCATTCTTGTATATCGGCTTTTCGGGCATTGCTTTTTGGAAAATTATCTTCCAACATTGAGTGGTATGGAGCGTTGTCCATGACGATGACACATGATTCTTCAAGGGATTGCAACATTTGTACGAACCAAGATCTAAAAACTTCAGCATTCATTTGATTATGATAGTCTTCTGTATTGCCTGATTTGCTACGAAAAATTAATTTTGCTTCCTTAATAAAACCATAATGACTTGAACCTGCATGGCAAACAATGAGCCGACCTCCCTTACCGGTAGGTACTTTTAAACCTTCAGTTTCATCTTCATTTTGCCATATATACGTTTTAGAGTGGTTTTGATTCACCCAGGTCTCGTCTAAGTAAATTACAGGACGAGAATCGTTATTTTTTCGGAGTGTACACATCGTACGCAAAAATTTACACCTCAAGGCAACAATGTCGTTTTGCTCCATTAAAAATTTACGTCCGTCGTTACATTTTTTATACGTAAATTTTAATTTTGTCAACAATCTTTTCATGGAAGCAAGACTACCTTTATAATCAAATTTTTGTTGAATAGAATTTAAAATTAATCTTGATGTAGGGTATTCACCTTTTTCATAAAATTCATGCACAGTTCGTCGAACAACATCGTTATCGAAATCGTCCAGTTCTGTGTCATACTTTTTCCGTTTATACGTTTTTCGCGGTGAGTTAAATGACGGTCCAGGTTGTGACGAGTCTGAGACATCGTCAGTAGTAGATGATCCTTCTGCACACACTCGTCTTACTGTCATAAGAGATACACCACACGTGTCCGCAGTAATTTTTTGAGTCTGTTTAAAATATTGTTTTAAGACCTCGTCATCTGAAGTAGCCAGATTTTTTAAATAATTGTACACATTAAAAATAACTTTTTTGGTTTGACTACGATTGTCATTGTTTTTAAAAGGCATTTTAACGTTAAATAATTAAAAATTAGTATTAATTGAACAAACTATGTATTGTTATAACACCAAAAGCAGACCAAATATTGTATCACTGTTAACTAAACACGTGCGTTCACTATGTCGAGCTCACGAGGAATGACAATTGTAATGTTAAACACAATGTAGGGTCTGCCTTTAAAAAAAGGTAGAGTAGCAGCTGCTAACATAAAAGGAATGTCTATTGAATATGGTTCCGCCAAAACGAATCATGGATCATGAGATGGCCAGCGGTAGGTAAATAGTACAAAACGGAGAACCCCTGGATTCAACAACATTTGGACACCACCCATCGACCTTGAACGTTCACTTTTCGTGAGCCGGACTGTAGTAGATTTTTACTTGTATACAGAAAAAACGAATCGTTATGGGATACAGCCAATGAAAATTACATGCGAAAAAATGCACGTTAGAACAATATGACTAGTTTGCGTATGCAATTAACTGAAATGGGTTTTCAAATTTCAAATGATGAGCTTCTGAAAAAAAAAATTAAGAACATTAAAGATGCGTACAGACATGAAACCAACAAAGTTAAAAAGTCCATGAAAAGTGGCGCTGGAGCTGAAGATGTCTATAGACCCAAACTAAATTGGTTTTATGAAGCTGATTGTTTTTTGAGAAACGTCATGACTGGTCGGGAATCTAGTTCAAATCTTGTAAGTACCTTACGGTAATTATTTATTACTTCATGTTATAATAATTATTTTGATTTAAATGATTTATTTTTCTTGTTTACGACTCCTATTTATTTTAAGAATAGAATTGCATGGTTGGATTTCATTTTATTCTATTTTTAAAAAGATAATACAATATAGAATATTCCCATGAGTGACGTCGACGTAAGTTTATTATAATCGCTTTCGGTAATCTGTAATATATTACATAATGCGACGGTTAACCCTTTCAGTCCCGATTTTTTTTTTTAGGTAAAAAAATTTTTTCTTCATATTTTTATTTTATATATTCTAAAAATAAGTTACTGTTAAAATTTCAAATTTTTCGCACTACCCCTTCCTAAAAAATTCGTGATGTACATTAAAATGTACAATGGGACTTGCCGTCATAAAAAATAAAAAAAAATTTATTATTGCAAATGCATATTTATAAATTTAAGAATTTAAATAATACCTTATAACAGTCATTAAAAATTAAAATAATAGCTTATAATAGTTATTAAAAATATAAGTAAAATAAAATATCAAATATCAAATACAAAGTTAATTGTGAAAATCAAAAAAACAGTTATTTTTTGTCGTAAAACATAAATGAACGTTACATTTTATACAATTTACATGTGTTCTTCCTTTGCAACCTTCATATTTACATCGCGTGGCTTCTTTTCTTCCATCAAGCTGTGGTAAGTGACCGATATTGTCATGTTGAACACTTGATAAAGGACACGAGTCTATTTTTTTTTTTTTCAAGCGGTGAAAATAATTTATTTGAAGATTCGGGGATGTGCGTGACGAAGGGTGTCCTACTTTTCTCGAAGGCGTAATTACAGTTTTCCCCAAAAGTATCAATTCTTTAGCCAATCTCATCCTAAATCCAAGTAAATCTAATGTATCTTTCTTTTTGATTTTTAATTGTTTTGCGTCATTGATGTATTCTAACCACGAGTTACTTATTGCCATTTCAAACGCGTGGCTAACCATTCTGAGTGTCCATTTTTTTTGATTTTATGAAACATCGATATAAGCTTACTAGCTGATCGTGTTTATCTACACCACCCATCGTATTATTATTATGTCCTACTATTTCCGGTCGCTCGATGTAGACATATTTTTTGTTTATTCTGTCCCACCTTTTTATCGTATCAACTTTTCCTGAGACCACAACATTTGAACATAAATTTATGGGTTTATTGTCATACCATTTTACTAGTCCTAAATTTACGTCTGGAATGTCCGAACTTATTTCAAATGTTGTCCCCCTTCCCATTTTTTTCATTTCTTTATCCGACAAAAATGGTGGATTGTTGAAACGATTCGTACGTATTGTACCAGTCGCGTAAATTTGTTTTTTTTTGCAAAGTGTAAAATAAATTGAAGGATGTAAAAAAATTGTCCATTGTCAAATAATGACAATTTGGCTTTAGATTTTCCGTTAAACTTATAACTACAGCACCACCTACACCAAAAGTTTTTTTTAAATCATCGTCGACTTCGATCATATTTCCTTGGTATAAGATTAAATTATACACTAAGCCACTTTGGCCGCATAATAGATATGTTTTTATTCCCCAAGGATTTGGTTTACCTCGAATATATTGCTTTACTGATAAATGTCCCTTGAATGGAATCATCTGTTCATTAACCGATAAGTTTCTTTCCATTGGAATTTCTAAACATCTTTTTTTAATTATTTCAAAAAGAGGACGAATTTTAAAAAATTTATCATTGTTGTTTTTTCGGAATCTCCATATTGTCTACAACGTGAAAATGTGTACGAAGACTAAAAAATCGGTTTCTGGGCATAGTTTCGGCAACTAAATTTATATAGGTATCTTTTTCCCAATACATACGTACTCTAGGCATCTTTAAAGCACCCATAACTATATGTATTGCAATAAAGTCTCTAATTTCAGACGAAGTAGTAGGTTTGAATCGTGTTGAATTTTGTTGAGTTGCGTATAAATTAGTAAAATAGGCCATTTTATCAAATTCTTTATCATCAAAGTATTTTGAAAAGTAATATATAGGATCATACAAATAGGTTGGCGGTTCGGCTTCATTTAAATCATTTAAATTAATTGAAGGTGGGGTAAATGGTTTTTGCTGCCATTTAATTTGGTTTTTTTGTAAAGTGAAATATTTGGAATTACTAATAGAGTCAACATTACCATCTTCCTCAATGTCTTCCGAATCGGATAAAACGAAATCCTCTTCTTCGTCAAACTCGGCTAGTAATTTATCAATTTCGTCCACATTTTCGTCAACATCACTGTCTTCTAAACCACTGAAATCCGACATGTCTGCATCGAGTAATTCGACTAATTCACGGTCCGTGAGGTTTTTACTCATTATAGAAATGTTTTATTTAATTATTGTTATAAAATAATTAATTTGTAACTATTTATGTAAAATACGTACATGAAAAGTAAACAAAAATGTATATGTATATTGCGTAACGACTAACGACAAATGCGTTCTGTACGAACTGTCAATAATAAAATCGCATCATCGTTATCATCGTAAGACGGTGAGTCCCGTTGTACATTGCAATGTACATAAATAGTATAGTATTCTATTTTTAAACTATTGATTGTATTAAAACGAAATTTGAAAAACAAATAAAGCAGTGTGTCAAGAACACAAAAAAAAAAATTCCCAAGATTTTGGTGTTATCAGAATAATATTTATCAAAGAAAAATGTTATGGTAAAATGTACGACAAAATATTTCAATTTTTTCTGCTTATGAACTTAATTATAGACAGTTGGTAACAGTGCTATAATAAATATATACCTATATTCGAATTCTCTGTATCATAACAAATTCATCGAAGTCAATACCACGTGTTTAACTCTTATCATTTAAAAATTAAAAATGAGTGAAAAGTATGTACATTGTAATGTACAAAGGGACTGAAAGGGTTAATACCACAGAAATATACAGAAATACAACTATTATTATATTCTTTTTTTCTCCTACATATTTATGAAATCAAAAACACTTATTGCTATTTGAAAAATAAATAATTTTAATAAAAATAATGATATTATTTTTACATTATAATACTGTATTAATTGTGAAAATGATAAAAATTAGAACAAAATTACTATTTATTTGAATTATTTTATTGAGAAATAAATATCTTAATATTATTAATTTTATGTATTTTGAACGGCTTGTAATTGCCACGGAACAGATAATGTTGTGCAGAAGTCTCTAGCGTATCTCTTCCTCAATAATTCTGCATCTGTTGCATAGTGATTGGATGTATATCCTACTTCACTCCGACTAACTGACAATAGTGAATTGGTTTGTCTCCATGTACCCGGGTGAATTTCGCCTGTATTTAAATCTTCAATATCGACACATTTTGTTGTTAAATAATCCCTTGAAGCGGTCATCCTTAGCCAATTATGAATGGCACATGCAGTTTTTACAAGTAACTCTGTGGTTTCTACTTTAACATCAATTGTCCTTCGAAAAATACGGAATCTGGATGATAGTATTCCAAATGAATTTTCAGAAACGCGCCGAGCTCTTGACAAGCGATAATTAAAATTTTTTTCTTCTAACAACTTTCTGTGACTGAAAGGCTTCAATATGTTTGTTCGAAGAGGGAAAGCATCATCCCCCACACAAAGACCACCCTCCGGCCAATGTGCCAATGCCAAGATGCTTGGCATAAAAAATTACCGGTGACAACAGGCCTAACGGGTCGAAAATGCGGGCTATGAGTGACAACATGCCACGCTTCGTCGTGACTAACGATACTGCTTGCACTACATAATGAAAGACATCGTCGCGATGGTTCCAATGCAACCCGAGTACCTTGATACCTGTCCCTTCGCTATCATCAAACGATAATGATTTTACAGCTTGGTCATCAGACGAAACATTACTTAAAATAGCATCGGTATTGCTGGCCCATTTTTTGAGCTGCATCCCCCCCTGCCCCAGAACCGAAATTAAATTGGATTGTAGGGTGATGGCCGCTTCTACTGTGTCTGCCCCCACGCAAATGTCATCCACATATGTACTAAATAATAATGCGTTACGGACATCTGGAAAATGAGTGCAATCGTGTTCGGCTATGTGATGTAGGACTCTGATGGCCAAGAATGGCGCACAGTTTACCCCGTAAGTTACGGTGTTAAGCTCGTACGTTTTAAGTTCTACATGTGGGGAGTCACGCCACAGTATATGTTGATATCGGCGATGTTCGGGGGTCACTCGTATTTGACGGTACATTTTATTAATATCAGCGGTAAATGCATATCGCGGTAATCGAAACAAGGTAAGCACGTCAATTATGTCCCTCTGCAACTTCGGCCCGGAAAATAAACATTGGTTTAAAGATGGCCCCGTAAACGTCCGCGCAGATGCGTCGAAAACTACGCGTAATTTTGCGTTAACGTCGGACGACTTATATACCGCGTGGTGTGGGATAAAATATGTCCCACTAGACTTGGCTATTGACATATGTCCCAGAGTTATATATTCACTCATGAATTTACAATATGCCTGCCGGAGCTGGTCATCCGCTGATAACCTTTTTTCGAGGGAGTCGAAACGCTTCAACGCGACAGCGCGCGAACCGGAAAACATATCGTCGGTTACCGGATTTCGGAACAATAGTGGGACAGTAAAACGACCGGATTTATCACGTGTACATTTTTCACGGAAAATTAATTCGCAACGACCGTCATTTGTAAAATCGTCGGGGGCCACCTCGGGCTCCTCGACCCGCCAGAATTTGTCGATCAACTGTTCAACAGATGTGGTGAGGGAAACAGGACAAGAACTGCGAATTTGATCGATTAGATGTGGGACGGGTCCTATAATTATCCACCCAAATACAGATCCGAAGGCCGCTGGATAGGATTCTCCCACCGAAATACGCTTGCCGTCCATTACGCGCGCAAACAAATCCGCCCCAAGTAACAAGTCAACAGTGTTTGGCACTGTAAAAGACGGATCCGCAAGGGCCAGGTTACTATACTTTTTCTGGATAGTTTCGGCTATTAACTGACCGGGCATATTCGACGTTATGGTTGGAAATACCCATGCGTCGAATTTCAAAACAGGTTCGACCGCGAATTTTGGCTGTACGTGACACTTAACTAATCCCTGAACATTTTGCACTGATGTTCCGGACAAGCCAGATACGGGAGCAGTCCAGCGGGTTACCGGTAAACCGAGACGTGAAGAACAGGCCGCGGTAATCGCGCTTATCTGCGACGCAGAATCTACCAGTGCACGTACTGTGTGTAGAGTGCCACCACAATCACGTATATGGACAAGGGCGGTGCCCAATATGACCGAATGTGCATTTTGGTCGCCGTGACCTACAAGCGAGGTTTGTGGGTCATGATCATTTTGCGTTTGCTGGCCGTGAGCCGTCGGATTGTCACGTGTATCACTATTCACCGTATCATCAGGGTGCAAAAGAGGGTGATGTCGGCGCGTACATTTGTCACACGGTACGATTGATTTACAATCAGGTGCCCAATGCCCACCACGCAAGCACCGAAAACAGAATTTATTATCTCTCACCCACTTGTGACGGGCTGCCGCCGTCCAAGTACCAAATTTACGACATGTGGACACATTATGCGATCCCTTACAAACTTTACACGTATCAGTAGGTTTAGAGGCGGTCATATTTGTAACAAATGACGAATGTGGTTTTTGTTTGAAATTACTAAACCCGACGGACGCGAATGGTGATCTTTTTTGTGGTACCGCTTTGGTGCTCTTTTGAATCAAATCGCGCGGAACGCATTCAAGAACGTTGATACGTGATTTAATAAACGTTAAAAGTTCTCTCATTGTGGGAAACCCATCGCCCAATTGTGTTTCGAACAATTTGATAGACTGTGCCGGTAGACATCGTGACGCAACCGAAAATAAAAAGAAATCGCCCAGATTAGGGATCCGCATTGACTCTAGTACTGATACTCCCTCGTCAAACATTACTAAAAAATTATTTAACTCAACCAACGATTCGCTGGACGCCTTGGGAGCCGACAACAATTTATTTATCAATGAGTGCGCGACCAAACGCGGACGGTCAAATCGTGCCGTAAGAGTAGACCACGCCAACTCGTAATTATCGCCAGATATAGGGATACCACTTATAGCATCTAATGCATTTTCTCTCAAACAACCGATTAGATAGTAAAACTTGTCTATTGTTGATATATTTGTACGCATATCCACCATTGACACGAAACGA